CCCCACGCCCTCGCTTCCGTTTCCGCGGGAGGCAGCGCGGGGATCTTCGCGTACCGAGTGCAGTGGGGTCGGTGGGGCTCCCCCTCTGCCTCCTCTTCCCCCCCTCCCCGCTTCACCCTTTCCCTGCTCCTCCTCCTATCACCTGCTCCCTCTCCTCTTCTGTCTCCCCCTCCTCCCGCAGCCCCCCTGACCCTCCTGCTCCCCCTCCTTCTCTCCGCCCCTCCTCCTCTCCCACTTCCTGTGTCATGACCAGCGTCATGGTCACGCTTAGTAGGAGTTTCCCAACTCGTAAGAAACACCAGAGCCTCCATCCCCACCTCGGGGACCTCATTGCCATCCCCCAAGTCCCCAACCACACACACATTCTATTCTAGCCTGGCTCTCCCTGGAACCGGCCTTGCAGACTTCCCCCTCAGTGCCTGATACACCCCACCCCTTGGCATTCTGTTCCCCCAGATATCTTCCTGGCTCCTTCCTTCATGACTGCTCTGCCGCCTTATCAGAAAGGCCTTCCCCCGCCACCTTGTGTAAAACAAAATAGGGCCAGCTCTCCCCGTCCACCCCTCACCCTTATCGCTGAGCACCACTGGTAGGTTACACAGTCATTTGTCCTTTGCATTCTGACCAACCCCCTCCCACACCCCCCAACTAGAATGCTGCGGGCAGACGCTTCGTCTCTCTGGGCCCCTGCCCTGTCCCCGGGCAGCTAGAACACTGCCTGGCAGGTAATGCTCACAATAAGCACTTTAGAACGAACAGATGCAGAGCCTTTTAGTTGCTGGGCCCTTGCGCAGAATGGCTCCATTTTTCGGGTAAGGAAGCAGGCACAGGAAGGTGAAGTGAACAGACCTCAGTGTCTGCTTTCTAATGAAGAGCGAGACAGATGATGAGCAAGTGAGCAAATGAGCGATGGATAATTGCAGGTAACAAGTGCTCCGAGAAGATACAACAGGTGGGCATGTGTTCCCCTGTAGGCCCCCCCACCCCACACCTGACATTGAGTTCTGCAGCCCCGATGTAGGCCGAGCCCCTCATTCTCTAGACCAGACTACTGAGAGGACAAGGGACTGGTAGGGGTTGGGACGCAATGTTCTCAACACCTGGCTAAGGCAGGCCAGTCCCTGATGGCTCAGAAAGAGGCCTTCGGAAACTCATTCAACCCTGGAAGAAAGCAGCAGGGCCTGCCCTGAATCCGCATTTATTGAGCACCCACTACATACTGGTGAGAGAGCCTTGCCTGGCACTATTCTGCTCAGGAGACCTGACCTTGCCAGGGGTGCATGCAGGAGAGGCCCAACCCCTGACCTAGACTGGGGTGCCAGGGCAGGGCTGTGGCATCAGAGGGGAACAAGTCCGGGGAAACCGTGCTCCGGGTTTCCCGTGGCAGAGTCCCAGGACAAGCCGCTTGGCCGCTCTTGGCCTCGGTTTTCTCACTTGTCAGGTGGGGACAGTAAGAGCCTCTCTCCAAGAGCTGTCATGAGGATTATTAACTGCATTGGGAAACTGTGGTAGGGCTTACTCAGATCGGTTCCCACAACGTGGGAGCACAGCTGAGTCCTGCGTTGTCCCAAGGCCTGCTTGACCTGGCTCTTACCCACCTTTCTGCCCCATCTCCCAGCCTCTCCCCTTGCTCACCATACTCCCAGCCTCCTGGGCTTTCTTTCTGTTCCTTGAACAGCCCCAGCTTTCTCCTGTCACAGGGCCTTTGGATTTGCTGTACCTTGTGCTTAGAACACTCTTCCCCCAGATCCTTCCAGGACTCACTTCTGCTCCAGACTCCAGCTCTAAGTCCACTCCTCGGAGAGGCCTTCACTGTTCAGTATCCAAAATGGGAACACCAACCCACCAGTCACTGTACTGAATCACCCCATCTTATCTGAAATTGTCTTATTGGTTTCTTTACTTTTGTCCCCCCCAGCTCCCGAGCAAAAAGCGGGTCTGGTTTTGCTAACGGATGTATCCCCGACACCTGGGACAATGCCTCACACCTGTTCCATATGCACTAAAGACTTGAAGTGATCAATTAGCTCACTGAGGGTGCCTGGGTGGCTCAGTTGGTTAAGCGACTGCCTTCGGCTCAGGTCATGATCCTGGAGTCCCGGGATCGAGTCCCGCATCGGGCTCACTGCTCGGCAGGGAGTCTGCTTCTCCCTCTGATCCTCCTCCCTCTCATGCTCTCTGTCTCTCATTCTCTCTCTCTCTCTCAAATAAATAAATAAAATCTTTAAAAAAAAAAAAAAGCAACCAAAAAAATAAATAAATAAATTAGCTCACTGAGGCATTAATCAATCAAGTCACTCATGGAGGAATTAACATAGTTCATTGAATTCCTCAAGGTCTTCAACAGCCATCAGCTATGGGATTGTCTTATTCCCATTGACTTTGCAGTTCTTGGGCACTAACCAATGAACTAAAACCTGGGGTCTGCCCTGGCCCGATGCCCGCCCCCTCTTCCTTGACACCCATCCTCCCTCAAAGAGGCTCATTTGCCTTGACCCTCTCACCCAATGTAACTTTTATTTATTACGAACTCTTCAAGGTCCAAATGTGCGTGGTGCTTACCCAAGAGAGCCTCAAGGACATGGCAAGAGGGCCCTCGCATCAGGCTGGGGCTGTCATCTGACAAGAGACATAGGCAGAGATGAAAGGCTGTCTGAGACACGTGACCAGCTCTGATCTCACTGAGGGGAGTCACTTCCGATGGGGGGGAGAGCGGCAAGGATGTGGAGGGGGCGGCCTAAGAAGCAGGAGAAAAGGCTTCATCATGCTTTAGAGAGAGGCCTTGCCGGGATAGGGAGAGCCGACAAAAATGCAGAAGGAAAAGAAAGATGAGTCAGAGTAAGATATTTTCAACGTGGGTACCGGAGGGATCCTGTGCGAACCAAGTCAGATGACGTTCCTTCTCAGCTCAGACGTCTCCCCTGATCAAAAGACAGATGGTGAGTGTGGACAAAGACATGGGGACACCGGAACCCTCAGACACTGCCGGTGGGGTTGTAAAATGGGGCGGCCGCTGTGGAAAACATTCCTCAAAAGGCCAAGCACAGACTTAGCGTGAGACCCAGCCGTCTGAGCCCGGGGCACATCCGAAAGAAATGAAAACTGTGTCCACACAAAAACTCGTGCGCCATGGGTCACTACAGCCCTGTGCACAGTAGCTGAAAGGTGGAGACAGCTCAAATGTCCCTCAGCTGACGAATAAAATAGAGTAATAAATAAACTACGGACTATCACACAATGGAACATTATTTGGCATGAGAAGGAAAAAAATACTGATACATACCACAGTGTGGATGAACTTTGAAAACATTACCCTGAGTGAAAGAAGCCACTTAGAAAAGACCACATAAGGACACCTGGGTGGCTCACTTGGTTGAGCGTCCGACTGGTGATTTCAGCTCAGGACACGATCTTGGGGTCGTGGGATCGAGCCCCGCGCCAGGCTCCGTGCTCGGCAAGGAGTCTGCTTATAGATTCTCTCCCTCTGCCCCTCCCCCTCTCTAAAATTAAATAAAATTTTAAAAAAGAAAAGATCACATAGTGTATGATCCCATTTATAGGAAATGTCCAGAAGAGGCAAATCCATGAGACCGAAAGCAGATTAGAGGTTGCCTGGCTTGGGGTGGGGCGGGGGAGCGAAGGGGAGAATCAGGAGCTAAGGTGTACAAGGCTTCTCTTTGGGATGATGAAAATGTCCTGGTTGTGGTTACACAACCCTGTGAATACCCTAAAATCCAGTGACTTGTACCCTTTAAATGAGTCCACTGTATGCTTTATGAACTACCTGTCAATAAAGCTGTCATTGAAAAAATCAGAACGTTCCTCCGGCCCCCACCTCACTCAGACTAAAAGCCAAAGTCCTCACCACAACCCACAAGGTCACCATCATCCCCCTGACCTCCTGTTCCCCTCTCCCCCCGTCCCACCTGCTTTACCTCCTGGGTGTTCCTCAAACCCACCGCCTTGCTCCCACCTCAGGGCCTTTGCGCTTACCAGTCCCTTTACTCTTCTCTCAAACCCCCATGGAGCTCACCCTCCCTCCCTTCACATTCTTGCCCTAACATCATCTCAGCGAGAACTTCCTTCCTATCCACTCTTTTTAAATGACAAACCACACCCCACAACACTCCCTAACTCCCTTCCCTGCTTCACTTTCTCTGTGTGGCACTTATCACCCCCAGCATACTACATAATGCTCTCCGTCTAGAATGGAAAAGCTCCAGAAGGGCAGGAATCTGTCTGTCTTGCCCATGACTGTGTCCCCAGCTTCTAGAACAGTGCCTGGCACACACACACAGTAGGTCCTTCATCGATAGGTATTGAGGAATCATAGCTACTGGAGCCCAGTGATTAAAAATCTGCCTTTGCAACCAGGCTGCATTAGGGGGGTGGCCTCTGGCAAGTCATTTATATTCTCCGTGCTCTGGCCTCCTTCCCTATGCAACAGGGGTGATCTCAACTGTGCCCACCTCCGGGGCGGGGGGGGGTAGTCATGGGGATTAAACGAGTTAATGCTGATTACACACTTAGCAAGGTGCCAACGTTAGATGGAATCATTGCTCTGTACAGGTAGCCACATGCTGTGGGCCCCACCCCAGCCCAGGAAGCTTCAGTGTTATCCTCAGGGACGCCGAGCCAGATCCCTGCATATAAAGAAACGACTTGATTAACAAGAGTCACAGAAGGTGAGTGGGACAGCAGGGACTGAACCAAAGTCACTTGCCTCCAGAGCCCGGCCATGAATAAGGATGCTCCTTGCGGAGGAAAAGGGAAAGTGGAGAAAGGGAGAGGAGTAGTAGAGGAGAGGGAAGACAGAGGTGAGGGAAAGGACAGGAAGAAAAGGAAAAGAGCCAGGGGAAGAGGAGACAGTCGTGATGGCCACGTCTGCCACCTTGGTTGCTGCTCGGGCAAGGGCAGAGCCGAACCTCCCGTCTGAGTGTGTGTTTCATTCGTCCAGTGCTGACCGAGACCTGCTATGTGCCAGGCGCCCCGCGAGATGCCAGGGACCCGCCGGTGGACCTGACAAAGCTCCCTGGCCTTGCGGAGCTGACCCTCCAGCAGGCACGCAAGATCAATAAGTGATAAGCCTAAGCATTGGTAAATTTTATGACATGTCAGAGCTGCGATGTCTAGCAAGTATCCGCCGGCCACACATGGCGCATCCCAAGTGAGAGGGGCTGAGTCATACACACGCCAGGTTTCAAAGACTTGGTATGAAAGAAAGAACAAAAGATCTCAGTATCTTTATATTGATTACATGTTGAAATGACAACATTCAGATATGTTGGGTTAAATAAAATACACTATTAAAATTAATTTCAGGGCTGCCTGGGGGGCTCAGTCGGTGAAGCGTCTGCCTTTGGCTCAGGTCAGGATCCCGGGGCCCTGGGATCGAGTCCCACATCCGGCTCCCTGCTCAGCGGGAAG